TATTCCATTATGCACGCGCGCGCGCACACACACACACACACACACACCCCCCACATTTTCTTTATCCAGTCATCTGTAGATCAGCATCATCTTTGTACCATGTTTTCTTGACACTGCTGTGGACTTGGTCTTTGCTTGGGAGTCATTTCTTAACTTAAGCAGTGTTTGCCATCTGAAGAGGCAGACAATGTTCAAAACCAGTGAATCCAGGTTCCTTTTCAAGAGACCTTCCTTTAGCTTATCTCTTTCTGATCACGTTTTACTTTAAGCAGCAAGAAGAAATCAGGCAGCATGTTCAACAACACTCTGCTTGGAGCTCTTAGACAAGTCACGCACCCATTGGGGACAGTCCCTACTTTCCATATTATAGCAGGCAATGATATTGCTAAATTTTCTGCCACTACATAACAAGGATTCCCTTTCCTCCAGTCACCCCCGCCCTTTTCTCCAGTTTTTTAATAATATTTTCCTCACTTTTCTTTCCTCACCTATAAAGCCTCCTCAGAGGCCACCAGGCTTCTGCTAACAGGTATTTGTTTACTTACTACACTATTTATTGAAGGCTCTTCAGGCTTCCACCGACACTCTCCTCAAACCCATTCAAATTTCTATGTACTTTCCAACTTCAAAGCCCTTCCCAGATTCTAGTTTCCATTATGGCGCCACAGCATTTGCAGGTACCTGAATCATTATTGTCTATTGTTGTGTAACAAATTTCCCTAAAACCCAAGGGCTTAAAATGATAATAAATGCATATTAACTCAGAGAGTGGGTCAGGAATTTGGGAGCAGCTTACCCAGTTGTTCTGATTCAGGCTTTTGCATGGTGTTGCCTGGGGCCTGAAGGCTTGACGGGGCCAGAGGATCCAGTTCCGCAATGGCTCATACACACGGCTGACAAGTCAGGGGTGGTTGTGAGCAGGAGGTTTCAGCTTCTTTCCCCATGGACCTCCCCATAATGCTGCTGATTATTGTTAGGACATGGCAGTTGGCTGCTCCCAGAGTGAGTGATCCAAGAGAGCAAGACAGAAGCTCCAATGTCTTTTATGACCTAGCCTTGGAGTATTTCTGCAATTTCCTACTGGTTACATAGGTCAGCCCTAATTCAGTGTGAGCTGGGAACACAGAGAGGGGTGAGTCCAGGAGGAGAGAGTCAGCAGCTGTCTGGGAGGCTGGCTGCCACATAATCCAACACAAAGGCAGTAATTTCACTTTTTCAAAATGGAATTTGTTTAACATTGTTCTCCATATTCTAAAATAAATAAATGTTGGTTACATGTTGGTTATATTAAAAACATAAAGCATCAAATTTTGTTTCCTAAGTACCCCAATACCTGTATACCTTGAAACTGTCATATTACATACTTAAGTGTGTGTGTGCTTTTATGATTTTTACATTTGAAAGACTTTATTGGCAGAGACTTCCTACAGTGCATCAGAACATGCTTTAAGCATGCTTTCCTAGCATTTTAAAATATTCAAACATCTCCAGTTACTTTAAGGGATTTCTATTATACTAAGGGTTTCTTTTTGTTTTGTTTTGTTTTTCTAATCAATAGCATTGCCTTTTCTTCTTATTCTGCTGGTGAGTTGAGTTTTTGAAGGGTTATTTTTCCTCCAACAAAATCCTTGGACTTTAGAAGTGCTCTGAATTGGAAGCACTCAGAATTTAGGAGGAACTGAAACCGTTACTGCCTCTAGAAAACTGGACTAACCAGTTTTGGAGAGAAATCTTATATGGCTAGCTCTTCCAAGTTAGCACAATTAGAGCTTTTACATAAACATAGCTCCACACCTTACAAACATTTTGAAATCAGAGATCCATCAATCTCTAGGGTCACAGGTCTGCCTGCTTCTGCAAGGAGCCCAGTATTCTTGACAGCTCCATCCCACTCGCCCCAGAAGGAATGTTGCAGGAAGAAGATGGTCTTCAAATCTGGGACAGTTAGTCCCTTGTAGAGTGCACTCTCTCTGTTCTAAGAGAAGTTATCTGGAAAGGCTATATATAGTGGTGCTTTCAGAGTCAGAAGTGAAAAAATGGGCTTCAAGAAACTAAGAAAGTCCCCAGCTTTGGGTCCACTGGAATCCACATGCATACCTTCTTATAACCCCTTTTCCATTCCTATAGAGAGAAATAGGCTTCTTTTCTTCCTTCCTTCCTTCCATCCATTCATCCTAGATTGTAAAAAATTACACTGATAATATGGGTTTATTATAGAAAGATTAGAAAATACAGATAAATGAAAGGAAGAAAATAAAATCACCACTTGGATTTAACCAGTGTTAAAATTTGAATGTGTATCTTCCAAACATGTTTTCCTATTTACTAGCTGTTTCTTGGTTGTTCAGAAGAGCTGGGGTAAAAAAAACCAACCAACCAACTCTGTTTTTTCCTACATTAAACATGCTTAAGTAGACTATTGTATTGGTTGATTCTTTGTGAACTATTTCTTAGTTCGGAAATTACTGAAAAGGTATGAAAAATATTAGGCAAAAGTGAACACAATTTTTGTGAAATACTCTTCTATTTTTCTCTTTACCTCTTTCTATTTTTTTTAGTTACATAAAGATAGGAATGAAATAAAGTAAGGAAGAAGGAAGAAAGTTTGGTAGAGAAACAATGTATCACAACAAGAGAACAAAAATCAATTAAAATGAAGAGATACTAGCGTGTTTCACACCAGTTTGGGGAAAGGAAGGTGGGTGGTAGAAAAACTACCTGGACCAGCATTTTTGCCCAGTCAGAGAGATTGCGAGGATGAAGATGAGGACACCGGGACTAGTTAAGTCCGTTGTCTGGACTGGAATTTGGTGCAGTCCATCGCTGTGTTCAACAGTAGTGTACCTAAGCGATTCTGATCTCAGGGCGAGAATGGCTGTTGGAAACAAATGCCTCACAAATACATACCACTGGTCCCAGAGGCAGCTTGGTGAAAGTAGGAATGACTCAGCATAACCTCACATCACTCTCAGGGGGAAAATGCCCCATAGCTTGTCTTACTGATAACAATCATAATTCTTACATGACTGCACATGGTAACTCTGTTGGTTTGTTGGTTTCTTTGAATTACAGTTCAAATTGCCCTAATATTTGGTGCAAGAATATTAGACCATGTCTTGAATTTATGTGAAGGTAAAATTGACTTCCTTGAACGGCTCCCAGACAACTTGCTCCTGAATATCATTTCTTATTTGGATCTTGAAGACATTGCCAGGCTTTCTCAAACATCACGCAGATTTGCAAAGGTAACAGTCAGTTATTTTGTGTCTCTCTAGAATTGTCCTTTTACTTCCTCAAAGTTGTTTAATTTTATCTAAAGTTTTCTTTTTGTAAAATATAGCAGTGGTTTATTATTTGCATTTATTTCAGCAAGCTTTGTTGAATACTTACTTTATGACAGATACTGTCCTAGGAACAGAAGCAGCAGAGTTGAAAAGATACTATTCTTGCCCTTAAGGAACTTACTGTCTAACAGGAGAGATCCATACAGATACAAATGATTAAATATAGTGTGAGCAATTCAACAAGGGAAGTGTGAGCAAGGTACGAAGTGTAAGGTGATTTCCTCTGCCTGGCTTCACGGAAGTGGGTTACTTTATCTGGGTTTTGAGGGGAAAATAGGAGTTTGTTCAGATGGTCTGGCTAACTTGGGGCATTCCAGGTCAGAGGGGCATTCCAAGTCAAGGCAAAAACTCAGGCAGAGGCATAATGGCATAAGAGAAAAAGGCTGGTAGTGATTACTCCCCATCCATTTCCGTTTCTTCCAATAAGAACCCTTTTCTGAATTACCTATGAGAACCATGGCTGGTTCTGAGGCACTATTCATTGTAGTGCCCTGCCTTTCCCCAGGCTCCAAGCTCACCAAATAGATTCTCTCCCTACTTTAACTCTTCAGCAGAAGGACCAGGAACGAAAATGCAGTTGGTGCTGGTTTCAACCAGTGTTAGGACCTTGGTGCAACCATTATAGCTCCTCTCCCTGGGTCCTGGAAGGGGCTTTGGTTCCTCCTCCGTTAGCTATTCCTTCGATTCTAGAGCAATGACAATTCTGTCATCTCCTAAATACACACATAGTATCCTTCTGTTAAGTACTTTTTGGCTTAAGTCGATCAGAGTTGGAGTCTGTTGCTTGCAGCGGAAGAATCCTAACTCACTATTAAGCTGTGATGTTCCAGGGCAACATCCATTTAAAAGAGAACATGCAATATTTCCCAAGGTGATAATCTTATTATCTGAAAAAATCAACATTCTTTTTACAGTAATACAATAAAATTTCTTGCTTTTTATATATTAATTTTAAGTTATGTAATCTGTATTACTTAATATAGCCCTTTTGAGTTTAAACATATATACCTGTCCCCCGCACCAAAAATGGAGGGCTAGAAGCAAGTATTATGAATGAACGATTATTGTGCTGTTTATTTTTTGGCACTTAAAAAGTATATTAAAGTTCAGATTTTGTACTTGTTGCTGCTAAGAAGCTGGTTATTCATACTTTAAATGAAGAACTTTTGTTTTGTTTATTTGCTGTTTGGTTTTTTTGTTTTTTAATTGAAGCATCATTGACCTACAGCACTATGTTAGTTCCCGGTGCACAGCATAGTGATTCGCTATTTCTATATATTACAAAGTGATTACCACTGAAGGAGAATTGTAAGTAAATATAGTAGGAGGATGTATTAAAATTTCCGCCAGAGCCTGGGTTTGTTCCTGAGAATAAATGGAAGGATTCGATAGGAAATAGTGGTTGCTGCAGGGTCTTGTGGAATTTATTCCTTGCACAGAACAACTGACTTCCCTCAGGCTTTGCTCACTTTCACTCCCCTATTTCTTTCCCTCTCAATGTCCTGCCATTATTTTGGTGCAATCTTGAAAATAGCCTCCATAATTCACCCAGTGCTCTCACGTAAGGCTTTTCTAGGTTGCTGATTTCAGCCCTCCGAATCCTTGCAGAGCAGAATCGTTTGAAGATGGAACATGGTCCAAGGCTGCTGCTTTTTTCTTTCTATGTAATGTTAACCATTCATTGCTGGTTTTAATCTGTATTTTATGTGTTCCATGTACCTATTTCCCCTTCATTTATAAACAACTTTCTTTTATCTATTTTGCCCCATAATTTATTAAGTTATTTTATTAATGAAAAGTCTTCTGTTTCAAACTTTGGGGGTGCAGATATATTAGCAAATTATCTGTGTCCCTGTCCCACCCTTTCCTGTGATCTCAGGGAGGGAGGTTTCCTCTTCTCTTCAAGGCCAGTGCCACCTGCCACCTGGTTCCAAGGTCTAACCCGAGGAACCTCAGGCTGTCACTTGTCTCCTTTTTCTTCCATGTTATTATTATTTTTAACTTTTTATTTATAAATAATTTTAGATTTATTAAAGTGTTGTAAAATGTAGTAAAGAGAATTTACATGTACCCTCCACCCAGCTTCCCCCATTGCTAACACCTTACATAACCTGGACATTTATCAAAACTAAACAATTAATATTGGCACAATTCTAGTGACTAACCACAGACTTGATTTGTATTTCATCAGATTTTCCACTAATGTCCTGTGATGTTCCAGGATCCAACCTGAGATACTACATTACACTTAGTTCTTATTTCTAAATCCTTTTTTAAAATCTTTTTTATTTTGGGGAAGGGTAATTAAGTTTACTTATTGAAGAGGTACTGGGGATTGAATGCAGGACCTCATGTGTGCTAAGCAGGCACTCTGCCACTTGAGCTATATCCTCCCCTCTTAACTGATTCCATTTAAATGACCATTCTTCATTGGTGGTTAGCCCTTTGTATTTGGGGGAGAGTTAAAATGTCCCTTCTTTTATAAAATAGTGGTATTAAAACATGATAATTTTAACAAATTATCAAAAAAAAACCCCAAAAAACAAAAAAATAAACCCACAAAAACCAAAAGTGAGAGCTGCAAGGTCACCTTTATAAGACAGAAAGGTCCCAAAGGCCAGACTGGACTCAGATTGGGTGCAGTGATGGGTCTGCCTTAGAGGCATAAGCACACATGGGAGACACAGAGGGTGTGGGGACTCTGGGTGGAAGGGGGCAGGGGCCCCGTGGTGCTAGCCCACAGCCCAGTTTCCACTAAAATCTAATGCCGCCAGCAATCAGGGCCATCCAGCTGCCTGCCCTCACTCTGATTCCATGTTTCTTTTTTAGGAGGGATGGAGTGGAGGTGCGGTGAAGTGGCAATTAGGTTTACCTATTTTTTGATGGAGATACTAGGGTTGAGCCCAGGATCTCACACTTGCTAAGCATGGTTCCTACCACTGAGCTATGCCCTCCTCGTCTCCTGATTCCATGATTCCGGAGCCTCTAGGGATGAGTGCCTTAAGGTCAAGTGGGCTGGATGGTATATTTCTCAGCTAAGCACACAGAGAGGCATCCTCTGGGAGCTTGGCTAAGACAAGCGCCCTGAGAGGTGAACCCAGTGTCCCCGTGCACTGGGAAGTCATGACAAGGGCCAGCCCCAGGCTTGCAGAGCACTCACTGAGGTCAGGCTGCCACGAGGGACCTTCCTGGGGGCTGCTGAGGCCCATGCAGGGGAAGGGACAATCATGATTAGCTAACAAACACATCCCTCTCGGTCGTGACTCAGGCCCTCGTGAGATCCACTGAGGATGAAAATCTCTCTGCCACATTTTGGCTGTGGAGAAATAGGTTTTTACTCGTTTTCCCCAATTCTTGGTTCTGTGGTACCCAAGTCTGGCCAAGTAGGCGAAGCCCCTGGGAAGCAGGTGGAAGAGAGACCGGGCCCATGCCCTGCGGGTCAGATTTGGTGGGTCTCGGTGGACCCAGCACCTGTGTTTTCTTGGTTTACCACAACCCGTTTCTAAGCATCCAGGCCAAGAATTTGACCATTTGATAGTAAAATTGTGCAGATTAAATATCTTACGAGACTCTGAAGGTCTGGAAACTTGGGGTGGAGGCGGGAGGGTGCTTTTCCATCTGCACTGGGTACAGGCAGTGTGGGTGTTTAAATCAGCTCGAGGCCAGAGAGCTGGGTTCGTTCTGCACTCAGCCACTCCCCACCACGAGCCTTGGGCAGCCACACCCTCATCCCCTCTGAGCCTTGATTTACCCATTTGTAAAAAGAAAGGTTTTAACTAGATAAGCCCTAGGATGCCTTTCAACTTTTACCGTCGTTTTTGTGTGTTAAGTTCATGCACCACCGCCAGGGGGAGCTAAATCCATGATTAGCTGTGTTTTGGATTCAAAGTAGCTACAACGGTAGTCAGGATGGTACAGTACCTTGTATTTTGCAACCTGGCATCTACCAAGCAAAAGAGCCCCAGGGTTTGGGAGTCTTAGATGGGGGTATTTTTTAGACCAACTTATAATGCAAAACAAATGGTAGATATTTTCATTATAAAATATGATGAGTCACAAATGAAGTTACACTGGTGGAAATTTCAGCTCTCTTAAGAATTCCTTCCTTTCCTCCAAAACCTTATAATTTTCTTCTCTACTCTTTGTTATATAGTAATGGGGTAGTTATCTACAGTAGTGTTACAGAGTTTAGATTTTTCAAAGGAAGTTCAGAAGATCTCTTGTTTTTTTTTTAGCTGAAGTGTAGTTGATTTACAATGTTGTATTAGTTTCAGGTGTACAGCAAGGTGATTCAGTTATATGTACATATATTCTTTTTCAGATTCTTTTCCATTATAGGTTATTACAAGATAATTGAATGTAGTTCACAATTTTTAAAATTTTTTTATTGAAATGTAATTGACTTACAATGTTAGTTTCAGGTGTACTTATACATATACGTACATATATATTTTTCGTTTTCAGATTCTTTTCCATTATATGTTATTACAAGAAATTGAATATAGTTCCCTGTGGTATACAGTAGGTCCTTGTTGTTTATCTATTTTACATATACTAATGTGTGTCTGTTAATCCCCACCCCCTAATTTATCCCTCCCTTCCCTTTGGTAACCATAGGTTGTTTTTTTTAATATTAAGACATTTTCTAAGAGTTTTCATTTATTGTTTATATTTAGAATATGTTGTAATCCCAGACAGCTGTCACATGCTGGACACGGGGTCTCAATCCTGGTCTCAGTGTGGGGGAGGCCTCCCCAGACTCTCAATCATGGCAACTGAACTGACTCCCGGTAGCTGAGTGCCTACGGGACCTTTCTTTCCAGTGTTGTGGGCTGATAGGAGGCTCTGCTCTTCTCAGAAATGGGTGAGGTAGCAAGCTGTTCTGTCTCCCTTTTCTGCCC